TAGTAGTGTTTAGTAGTTTTCTGTGTATAGGTGTTTTGTTTCGCTGGTTAGATTTATCCCCAAGTATTTATTCTTTTGAACAAAAAAATTCAAAGGGCAGCTCGAGGATACAAAGTCAAATATTATAACAAAATATGCAAAGATCTGGAGTCAGGAAATCAAAAGGGAAGAACACGCTCAGCATTTCTCAAGCTGAAAGAACTGAGGAAAAAACCCAAGCCTCGACTTGCAATATTGACTGATTCTCTGGGCAAAATATTGAATGATGCAGAAAGCATCAAAAGAAGATGGAAGGAAAACAGAGAGTCTCTGTACCAAAAAGAAATGATCAATATTCAACCATTTCAAGAGGTAGCATATGATCAAGAGCCAATGGTACCGAAGGAAGACGTCCAAGGCACACTGAAAGCATTGCAAGTCTTGGGGGAAATGATGGAATACAAACTGAAATCTTTCAAAAAACCAATGCAACACTGGAGGTGCTCACTCATCTACACCAAGAGATTTGGAAGACAGCTACCTGGCCAACAGATTGGAAGAGATCCATATTTGTACCCATTCCAAAGAGAGGTGACCCAATAGAATGCAGAAATCATCAGACAGTATCATCAATATTGCATGACAGTAAAATTTTGTTAAAGATAATTCAAAAACTGCTGCAGCAGTACATTGACAGGGAGCTGCTACAAGTTAAGACCAGATTCACAAGGGGACGTGGAACGAAGGTTATCATTGCTGATGTTAGATGGATCTTAGCTGAGAGCAGAGACTACCAGAGAGATGTTTACCTGTGCTTTATTGACTATGCAAAGGCTTTTGATTGTGTGGATCATGACAAGTTATGGACAACATCGCAAAAAATAGGTATTCAATTCCACTTACTTATGCACATGAGGAACCTGTACATAGACCAAGAGGTAGTCATTCAACCAGAACAAGGGGGCACTGAATGGTTTGAAATTGGGAAAGCTGTGCACCAGGGTTGTATTCTTTCACCATACTTATTCAATCTGTATGTTGAGCAAATAATTCGAGAAACTGAATTATATGAAGAAGAACATGGCATCAGAATTGGAGGAAGACTCATTTAAAACCTGCGATATACAGATGATGCAACCTTTCTTGCTGAAACTGAAGAGGACTAAAATATTTCCTGATGAAGATCAAAGATCACAGTCTTCAGTATGGGTTGCCCTCAAAGTAAAAAAAAAAAAAAAAATTCTTAACCACTGGACCAAATAATAACACCAAGATAAATGGAGAAAAGATTGAAGTTGTCAAAGACTTCATGTTACTTGGATCCACCATCAACACTCATGAAAGCAGCAGTCAAGAAATCAAACTATGTATTGCATTGGTCAAGTCTCCTGTACAAGACCTCTTCAAAGTATTCAAGAGCAAAGATGTCAGTTTGAGGACTAAGGTGAACTGATCCAAAGCATGGTATTTTCAACAGCCTCATATACATGTGAAAGTTGGACAATGAATAAAGAAGATCATAGAATAATTGATGTGTTTAAGTTATGGTGTTGGAGAAAAATATTAAAGGTACCATGGACTGCCAGAAGAACAAACAAATCTGTATTGGAAGAAGTACAGCAAGAATGCGTCTTACAAACCAAGATGGCCAGACTTCATCTCTCATAATTCAGGCATATTATCAGGAGGCAGTGGTCCCTGGAGAACTACATCATGCATGGTAAAGTGGAGGGTCGGCAAAAACGGATGACCCCAACTAGATGGTTTGGCATAGTCGCAGCAACAATTGACTTGGGCAGTGTTTCGTGTAGCTGTGATTCGGAACCGACTCAAAGGCATTTAACAATAACAGCAAAAAATTTCACTTCATGACTTTCTAGTCTTTAGTAGCTCACTTCAGTAGCAGCAAGTTTTACCTCTGTTTCATAGTAATCAGTCTTGGCTGATTTTGAGTTTGATTCTCCTTCTCCCTTGTGAAATCAAAAGGAAGTCTGACATGGCCCCCATGGTGTTTTTGCAATGTTATGTGAGAAAGCATTTGCCATTTCAGCGTTCTGTGCCGGCATCATCAGCAACATTCATTATGTTTGTCATGTAGTTCATCATTTCCAGAGTTTTCCATCATCCCTAACACAAGTTCGGTGTCACTTCAGCAAAGCTGTAGATTTTTCTGTTATGTTAAAAAGAGTAAAACGTTTGCAATTCAAGAGATCAACCATTTATCAGGAAAGATGTTTACGAACTGACTGTCAACTCTAGCAAAACTGTTGTAGATACCAAGAAGCAGTTTTTTGTTTTTATTCCACTTCCAAACTTGTGATTCAAGAAGGAAAGTACAGCTGTTGCTCTTTTGAAGATTGTCTATTAATTTTTAAGAAGTGCAGAAGTGTGGAATGCATGCATAGTGGTAGATCTTGAGAGGGAAAACAGACTTTTAGGCTAAACACTAATGGAAAGCTACTAAATGAAAGGCTTTAGGTTTGAGTCCATCCAGAGATGCTTAGAAAGTCCTGGTGATTCCCAGCTTTTCCCAGTGTAACTCCTCCTCCCCCTTCACCTAAGGACTGTATCATCTAACATGCTCCAGATGAAACTGACTGAAATGAAAGGTGGGCAGTTCGAATGCATCTATGCTTCAAATCCACACTGAGGCGCCTTACAAGAATGCCTGGCAATAGGTTCCCATAGATTATAGCCAAAAAACCCTACACTACTGAGCTCAGTTCTGCTCTGTGAACAGAAGGGATCAGTGTTGAGTCAGAATCCACTCAAAGGCATCGGTTTGAGTTTTTAGTTATGTATATACATGGTCTTTCATTTTCTCCACTTGCTTGTAAGCCACATGAACACGAATGTTTTGGTCTAGTTAATTCCCTGCTCTACCGCAGTACCTACCTACCTAGATCTATGTCTGCCATGGGGGAACCTTCCATGTAGACTGGGGCCATTGTAACAAAATCATACAGATTGGGTGGCTTTTAACAACAGAAATGTATTGTCTCACAGTGCTGAAGGTTAGATGTCCAAATCAGGGTGTTAGCCATGTTGATTTCTTCTGAGACCCTAAGGGAGACTCTGTTCCAGGCATCTCATAGTTTCTGCTAGCCCCAAGTCTTCCTTGCTTACATCTACAGAGTCTCTCACTAGTCTTTGCCTGACGCTTCTCCTGTTTCATCAGGACACAGCAGTTTTACTGGATTAGCAAACGCCCTGCTTGGTCATGGCCTCCTGTTAACTGATCAGATTTTCAAATACGCTGTTTCCAAACAGGGCTATGTTTGCAAACAGCAGGTATTATGTTAGGGACAGAGCAGGAACCTAACAGGCCAGCTTAACCTTACCCCAACACCTGGCACTTAAATCAACAATTCTAGGAAACTGAGCCCAGCTCAACTGCTGAGAACTAGAATAGTGCAAGACCATCAAAAAAGGTGCAAAAATATGTGCCACCTAGATGCTGCCGGCAATCAGAATTAAACTTGAGGAAGAAGAGCCAAAAACCCTATAAAAAAGGAGAGAGAACAGAAAGGCAGCGCTCTCTCACTCGCGCTGTGAGAGAGACACCTGCATCTCCTCCTCTGAGAAATGTACTTTAGCCTCTTCTTTCTCCCATGGAACAGCTGATACTTTCCAACTGCTGACCACTATGCTACCAGAGCTCCTTAAGAAGTGTAGTATTCAGAGCTTAATGCACCAGATTGCAAAGCCGTTTGAACTGCAAGGTCGTCAGTTCAAGCTCACCAGCTACTCCCCGGAAACCCTATACAGGGTCACTATGGGTCAGAATTGACTCGACGGCACTTCACAATAACAATCAACCTTGCTTGTTACTTGCTGCTTTTTGTCAGTGTGTGCTGTTTGCCCCAACCTCAAGTGGGTGTTGCTATACCTGCAGAAGTCAGGTTATTGGACCCTAACAGGTTACGGCTTCAATGTATCTTTTGAGGGGATGTAGTTCAGTCCATAACAAGAATTTTTTGAATAACTGAACATGTAGCCACTATGGGGATTAGTATCATTCTGAAAATCACCTTCTTGTCTCTCCTAGAAGTTAATATTCATCCTTTTATCATGTAACTTTAGTTCTATGTCTTAAAAACTTTATTATGCATCGAGCATGCCTCCATCCCAAAATAGATGACAAAACAATTTATACTGGTTAACAATGGATAGTTTCAATTTCCAGGAAAATGAAACTTAACTCACTGGCTGCCTGCCATCCAAGAAGGCTGTGCTTTGAATAGGATGGGGTGGAACTATATAAAGCATCTGCATCAGAGACTCTGGACACATTCTTGGGAGACAAGCTTCTTGGGTAAGGTAAGGAGGGTTGATGGATTTTACTGGGAAGGGTCCCAAGTCCTCACCTGCCCCGGCCATAGGCACCAAGAGCTGGAGTTTGAAGGAGTCAGGTGGGCAGGGGGAATCAGAGAAGCCAATTCAAAGCCATTACCAGCCAATGAAGCAGACAGACCTGGGTCCTGTCTCATTTTGCCAGGGGACCCTAATGACCTTGGGTGAAACACTAACCTTCTTGGAGCCTAAGCATAACCTCTTGTATCCGATGGAGACAGGAGTTCCTTCCTTCTGGAGTTAGCAAGGAGATTACATAGCATCAGGGTGCTCACAGCACTTTGGCCACAGGAAATGACCCCAAACTGTAATGAGTTCGCCTTTCCTAATTCCAGAGTCTTTTTCATGGCTCTGGAGAGATTTACGGGAGTCCTTAAATTATCTAAGACATTGCCTCTGGGGTCCTCAGGAGCAACAAAGCACATGGGAACAGAAAATGTTCGAGGTTCCTCCTTCGATCATCTGAACACCCACATCACTCCTTCCCTCACCTCACCCCAAGACCCTTTCTGTACCTGCTGCCACCACAAGCTCAGAGCAGCCTCTGGTTCCCTTGGCCCTCCATGTCTTCTGGGCAGTGGGTGGGAAGCCAGTTTTAGGGTCCCCAATCTGCCACCAAATCTCTACTCTTCTGACAGGTTTGACTGAGGTGCGATCCTCTTAGGACCATGGCATTTGCTGTTGCCAGCGCCTGGGCTTCCAGCATGGCTGCCGGTCTGATAGCAGCAGCAGGAACTGTGTCCAGTGTGGGTACACTGGCCTCTGGAACCACCCTGGTTGGCGTTCCCACCGTGGGTAAGTGTCCCAAGAGGGACTCGTACTGGAATCAGGACACAGGCTGGGGATGTTGGGAGGACTCTGTAAAGGAACTGGGAATCAGCTGCTGGTAACCACATCCCTCCAATCTCTGACTCCATCGTTCCATCCTATCAGAGTCTCTTCTGTTTTCATAAGATATCAATCATACTGAATTAAAGGGCTACCTGAATTCCACTATGTTAACATAACTTACACTGTATCTGCCAAGGACCGATTTCCAAATAAGGTCACATTCTAAGGTTCAGAGATTTAGAGTTTTTGCAGATCTCTTGGGGTGAGCACAAATCTACCCATAACCCCAAATCTGAACCCATTGATTTCTACCCATAGCAATTCTATAGGACAAAGCAGAACTGCCCCATAGAATTTCCAAGGCATTACTTGTCATGGAAGTGCACAGTATCACCCTTCTCCCTCAGAGTGACTGGTGGGTTTTAACTGCCAACCTTTTGATAATCAGTTGAACATGCAACCACTGTAACACTTTGTGTAACACCAAGAACTTCAAATCTCCTCAGGGCAGGTCCTTTCTGCTTCTGGGCTCGGACTCTCCAGCCATCCTTCCCAAGTTTAGGATTGTGGGGTCTGTCTTCTCAGGAATGTGCCCTGGGTTGGGAGAAGCAAGGATGGGGCAGACAGGGGTCATTCCTTCAGTGGGCTCAGGGAATGGTGGGAGGCCAGTAAGGATCCACTCACAGAATGTATTTTTCGTCACCAGCCAAGACAGCTGCAGCTGTAGCCGGAGGTGGTAAGTTTCTACAGAAAAGGGTTGCGGCCCCACCCACCCCAGGGCCCTGGGTCTCTGGGAACAATGGTCTGGCCACTGGTCAAGTTTCCCCAGGCCTCAAGTGGTTGGGTTGGGGATGGAACAAGCACCATCGAGAAGGGCAGAGGCTTAGACCAAGGCACTGGAACAGGATTGGAAGAGGTAGACAAGGGGTAATCTCAGTCAGGACCACTGTCCCCTGGCCAGAGTGACCATGGCATGACTGTGGGAGTGTCCCTTGAAGCCTCTGAAAAGTGGCCCATAACACTCATTCAGGGGTCTCGGGAGGATTACTTAAAATGAGACAGGCATATCGGTGCTTTAACAAGCTGATCCGCTCAGATCCCATCTAGTGGAGACGGAATAGCAGAGGGTCCAGCTCTGAGCCTATGTCTGCCTCACATAACTTAGTGTCCTGGGTAAGATTTGTTTGCATAATAGATGTCCTCAGTAAAGATAGGAAGCTGGCAAGCCACTCCTTTATTTCAGCATTTTATTGAGGCTCAGGGGACAAGGGACTTTCCCCTTCTCCAGGCCTCTAATGGTCCCCACATTTGACCAAGCAGGTGGGTGGGCCCATTCCCAAGCCCCTCCCTTGCCCTTATTCTCCTCTCCACTGCAGTTGTGGCCTTGGGGTCAATGCCGGTGGTGCTTAGCACCTTGGGCTTTACCCAGGCTGGAATCGCCGCCTCTTCTGTAGCTGCTAAGATGATGTCTATGGCGGCCATTGCCAACGGAGGTGGTGTAGCAGCGGGCAGCCTGGTGGCTACTCTTCAGTCACTGGGTACGTGTGCTGGACAGGGTTTGCTGTAGGTGAGAAGGAGGTGGGGGTGTGGGCAGGACCAACGTTCTAGAGGATCCAGCCTGGAGTTGAGGCCTGTGTGTGTGGAGGGGCTCTCCTCCATCCAGCTGCCATGATCCTTTGGTTCTCAGTCTCTCTATACCTTTTCTTCTCTCTGGGTTTCTTTGAAAAAGACCGAGGAGAAAGAGAAGCATCCTGGACTCAGGGTCCTCTGGGTCCAAGACATTCTGCTCAATGCAGACTTGCTGGGTTGCTTGGGGTTGAGCCTCTGCCAGGGAGTGTGGAGGAACTATGAGCTCTTGGTCTTGCAAACAGGAGTGTCAGGAAACCCAAGAGTGCTGCCTAGCCAGCCCATCCCCCTCAGAGCATTCTCTCCTCCCACAGGAGCAGCTGGACTCTCCCTGTCAACCAAGATAGTCCTGGCCTCCACTGGGTGCACTCTTGGGGCCTTGTTGGTGCCTTAATTCAGGCTGTCTGACCTTCAGCTGCATCTAGTAGATGAGGACCTGCGGGGGACCAACCCAGCTCGTCTGGTAACTGTGCTCCAAATGTGGCACCCTGAACCCCTGCAAGAAAATAAAGAATAAAGATGCAGGCTGTTAATTCCTTGTGTAGCCATTCCTTTCCACTTACTGTTAGAGTGAGTCCAGCAGTGACCGTTCTGAGACTGGGGGACTCAAGTTCTTTCCCAACCTGGTCTTCTCCTAGCTGCGTGGGGTGGGAGTCCGTGAAAAGTGTCAGATTTAAATTTGGAGACAGGATGATCTGATACCCTGCCACTGATTCCTCTCTGGAATTCCTTTTGTTCCTCTAAACAGGAAGTTCAAAAGAAATGACCTCAGGATCCTAGGCCACTGATTCCTCTCTGGAATTCCTTTTGTTCCTCTAAGCAGGATGTTCAAAGGAAATGACCTCAGGATCCTAGGGAGATTGTTTGGCTAAGTCCCCTTGAGAAGGCACGGACAGCCAATGGGAGAGCAGCAAGTTTGAGCTAGACTTCCACTCACTTCCTCAGACAGGCATTCCAACCCTCACACATCCAGTGGGCAGTTCCCAGACAGAGAAAACACAGGGTATACTGCTACTGCCCTGTCCCAAAGGCCTCAGCCTTCCTCCACACTAACAGAGGACATTTTAAGTTTTCAGGGGCTCTGACCATTCTCCTTGTTCCCAGATACTCTCCCACACTCACCTTCAGAATAAGGTCTTGTAGAAACTTCTGATCCAAGGATGGGTTCCACTCCAGAGCATCAAATCACTCTTTATTGACACACACACACTCTCTGAGCAGTTACCTCTCCACAGGAACAAAAGGAAAATGCTTGTCCTTTACTAGGGCACAGATCAGCATTATCCCAGAGCCAGTCAAGGCTTTGTGGGACTCAGAGAAAGGCAAGTAGCGGTCTGCTGGGGAAGGGGTAGTGTTCTGGGTTGATCTTTGTCCCCAATTTAAGTCTGGATGATTGAATTCTGTCTCTAATTGAAGACTAACCTGCAGTATCTGTGAAAACAACTTTTTTTTAGAATGAGGGTATCAGTTAAGTATAAGTCCCTGGGGGCATAAATGGTGAACATAAGAGAAAAATGAGGTTTCCTGATCCTACAAAGCCTTGGAAACCCTACACAGGGTCTTTAAGAGCCATAACCGACACCACAGTATTTAACAACAACTAACAAATAGCATGGACTTCTGGTATGGGGCTGCTGGTTAATGCGCTGGACTACAAAGTCAGCTTGAACCCGAAGGCCTATGGTTCAAGCTCACCAGCTGCTCCTCGGAAACCCTTTACGGGGATACTGTGGGTCGGAACTCTGGAAGGCACTTAACACCACCAACAACAATAAGTAGCCAAGTAGCGTAGTGGTTGTGAGCCAGGCTGCTAACCTCAAGGTTGTTGGTTTTAAACTACTGTAAGGCCTAATTGCCCTATAGTAACTAATTTTTAAGAAAGGATCAGGCTGAAGTGGGAAAAATTTTTAGTATCAACAACTCCCCTAGATGCAGAAACACCCTTCCCCCTTAACTCTGGAAAAACTTGGCTTCTGTAACACCACTCAGGTGGTGAGTCACCATTGTGCTATATGATAACATCGTGGAAACACAGGTTTGGGCCCACTCAGACACCGTAGCTGAAGCGTGAGGTCACACAGACTGTTCATAGCATGCTGTGATCAGTTACAATCATTCACACTCTCATCAGTCATTCAGAGGCTACAGAAACGGCATTAATGGGTTAGTGGATTTCAGAGCCAACATCAGAAATCAGAAAAACGAAAAACAGGCTCTATCTCTCTCACTGAGAAATAGATCAAAGGAAAAACAGGCTCTATTTCTACCCCTGAGAAACAGATAAAACAGGCTCTATGTCTCCCACTGAGAAATAGACAGGCTTCCTCAAACGACGTCTCTCGTGAGGAAGTGACTGTGAGTTAGACTGTGTCCAGTCCTCTCATCATGTCCCATTTGGCTAGCCCCCGACTAGAGTAAGAACAGGCAGTATAAAAGGATAAGAGAATTTACCTCCAGAGGCTTTTGAAGGTTAGGCTTCGAGGCCTGTCCGGTTACTCTGGACTCCAGCCAACACCTGGGGCCCTAGAACGTCTCAGGGGGCGCGCCCCCTGAGCTGGGCCAGTTGTCCAGTTTATTCGGATGCACCTTTAGCTAAGATGACGTTGCAACACCCCGCAAGGGGCGTGGCCAGGAGGGCCCCTGACTGGTCCTCTTAATTGGCGGCTCCCCAACCTTTATCTGTCCCCTTTTGCCTTGATTGACCTTTCCTAACCTGCCCTTTCTGGTTCAGAAAAGTCACCATTCATGACTAATCAGTGGACTGCTTGCTTATTCGTCTACGGGTTGATTTGTCTCTACTTGACCCTCCCTTTGGGTCTAGGCTTGGCAGTTACTGCCCCGAAGATTGGGCAGTCAGACACAGGATTTGTTGTTGTTGTTGTTATGTGCCCTGGAGTCGGTTCCGACTCATAGCGACCCTGTACAGCGTTTCCGAGGCTGTAAATCTTTCCGGGAGCAGAAAGCATCATCTTTCTCCCGCGGAACAGCTGGTAGTTTCAAACTGCTGACCTACCCTACCAGAGCTCCTTTTAGACACAGGATGTTGTTGTTGTTGTTAAGTGCCATCGAGTCGGTTCCGACCCATAGCGACCCTGTACAGGGTTTCCAAGGGTGTAAATCCTTACGGGAGTAGAAAGCCTCATCTTTCTCCCGCGGAGCGGCTGGTAGTTTCGAACCGCTGACCTTAAGGTTTGCAGCCCGATTCGTAACCACTACGCTACCAAAGCTCCTTTAGACACAGGATAGCCCGAGATAATTGCTACTTTCTTTGTGTTGGCCTCCTCTTGAACCTTCAGTGCTGGATAACTAAGGCCTTGTAAACGCCTCCCCAGGCCCACCCGAATTGCATCCACAGGAAGAGGTACCGACCCCAGACCATCTGAGACTGAGCCAACTAAGAGAACCTAGTGCAGCATCCCGTTCTCACATAGGATTGGGATGGAAGTCCCTTCCTGAGTACGGTTCCTCGGTGGGCATTGTCCACTGGCACTATAACTCACGTAGGCAGTCTGGATGTCCAAGGGTGAAAAGCCTTGAAATCCGTCCCAGCATGCCCAGTCGCCCATTCTGTCTCAGGTGCACTCACTTGAGTCCTAAACTGTCCATTGTATGTCTGTGCTCATTCCTTGTAACTCTCTTGGCTTTTGTGTCGTTCTGTGTAACCCCCTTTTTCTTACAAGATCAAATATGGGAAAGTCTGCCTCCAAAGAAACTTGCCCTCTTGGGTGCATTTTAAATAATTTCAAGGATGTTTATTCCTCAGAACAGGAAGATGTTTACTGGGTCAAATTCAGTCGGGGGCGCCTGTGAACTCTTTGTGAACTTGAGTGGCCCTCTTTTGGGGGTGAATTGGCCAGATGCGGGGACCTTTGACTCATGAATTGCCCGGAGCATTGGAAAGTAGTGACAGACACCTGGGCACCCAGAATTTCCTTAAGGTGCCCTGCATGCCTAGGGTGCCCATTGCACCGGGCAGCGTCGCGAAGGGCGCTAGTCCTGGGGGTGGGGGGTAGGCGAAGAGTGGGGAACAGACAGGGCTGCCCGGACTCCTTGGAACCTCACCGCCGACCCGCTCCCAAGCCCTAGCTAATGCTTCCTTCTACACGCCGGGCGAGCAGTTGGCATCAGCGTGGTCAAGAGCCTGGGCAGGGAGGGGCTCTTGTTTCCAAGAAAGAGGCCCTGGCCCCCAATGGAAACGCTTCCCCAGCAGGGGAGCCATGCCTAGCTTGAGTCTTGCGGACAGAACAGCCGGACTGGGACCCAAATTTTGATCGAGGTACTGAGGCTCTTTTGAAGAGTATCCAGCGAGCAGCTAAGAAACCCACTAACCTCTCCAAGGTAAGTGTGGTCCTGCAAAAGCCAGATGAATCCCCTACAGCGTTTCTCGAACGCCTATCACATTTATACACCTATCAACCTGGAGGTTCCCGCTCCCTCCCCCGCCCCGGCAGAACGCCCAGGCGATCAACCTGGTTTTTGTGCACAGTTGGCCCCTGATATTAGGAAGAAGCTTCAGAAATTAGAAAGATTTGAAGGGAAAAGTAAGTCAGAGTTAATTGCCAGTGGCCAACGCACTTAAAATAACCGAGATAGCCCAGAGGAAGTAGTAGAAAGATTGGAGAAAGCGACCATTGCAGCCCTGAAGGCTCACCAACCACCCCCTGGAACTAAGGGAACCGGAAGACCCAGGTTCCCAGGAAAAAGACCTCCCCTGGGGAAAGATCAAAGAGACAGGGCATTGGAAGAAGGCGTGCTCCCAAAAGCCATAAGGTCAAAGGAAAGTCCTCACCTTAAGTGAAGAAGATTGATGGGACCATGGTTCCCAGACAATGAGCCCCCAGGAACCCACAGTAACCTTGAAAGTAGGCGGCAAAGCAGGAGCAGCCCACTCAGTCCTGCAACAGCCCTTGGGGACACTATCATTCCGGACAGTCCAAGTAGGGAAGGAAGGGCCAGATGACCAACTCGTCGAGTTTGGCCAGATGTGCCTCGCAAACTGTGCTAGCTAGTACCCGCTCCCATGAACTATGTATTTTAGTGCACGTTCTCCCTCAAGTCTTTGTGTATAGTGGGGAAGGAGGAAAGGAACACTTAGGAATCAAAACAGGCAGCGGGTATAAGACAGTGCCTGTGTTAGCTCCCCTACTGATTGGGCTGCTGTAGGAACCTCCTCCCTGGTGCTCCAAGATCAATCTTTTAAAGCCCTTTCAGGACAAGTTTCCCAGAATCTAAGCTTTCTAGAGTCCTCCATTTCTAAACTGGAGCACCAACTAGACTCCCTTGTGGAAGTTGTTGTTGTTTGTTGTTAAGTGCCTTCGAGTCGGTTCCGACCCATAGCGACCCTGTACAGGGTTTCCGAGGGTGTAAATCCTTACGGGAGTAGAAAGCCTCATC